AAAACATGAACAAATTAAAATATCATATTTTATTTCTGAACTAGCTGTTTCTAGTATTTGTATTTCTCTCTTTGGTTGGGTTTTTTTGATACATCACCATTACCACAGCTTTAAGTAAAAGGAATAAAATTCCTTTCTGTATATCTTGGAGAAAAAAATGCAGTGAGAAGAATGCACTGATTCTTTTTCCCTCACATGTGAATAAATGTACAGGTAATATAACTGTTCCCATCTACTTACTCCAAAACTTCCTTATAAGATAGAAATGATTCAAAGCAGAAGCTGGTTTTCACCATGAAAACAAGCTGTCTTCTGATTTGGAATTTTCATAGCCAGAATGCCATTTGGAATGTGAAAACAGAGGCATGGAAAAAGACAGAGCTATTAAACAAATAGCCTAAAATGTTGTTCAGTGTTATCATAATCTGGGTGTTTCAGAAATGTGTTACTTTATAGCACTTTCTGAATTTTGATATTTCTTCTGATATGTCAGTACAGTCAGTATGTCATATCCTGCACCACTGTTTGCCACCCAGTGGCAGGGAAGAGGTAGTAGCCTACTTACGTATATGTAGTGAAAACACTAGAGAAAATTACTCTGTACTTAAAATGGGGGCGTGTATGGCATTTTCACTGACTACTGTCATAATGTTTGATGTTGCAGGATGGATGGTCACAGTATCACTTTGTAGCCTCATCTTCAACAATAGAAAGGGATCGGCAAAGACCGTACTCTTCATCACGCACGCCCTCCATCTCTCCTGTGCGCATGTCTCCTAACAACCGCTCAGGTAAGACCAGGCTTTCAGGACTGAGGTAAAGACAGAGGTAATACAGCACTGTCATTTTCATTCTTTAAGCAATGTTACTGACATCCAGATTTGTTAACAGTGGTGGAAAGGCACAAAATACATTCTTTACTCTTACCTGAATTATCTGTTCAAAACAGGATGTTTATTTTTTTTTTCTATTAGCACCTTTTAAAGTTTTACAGCAGGAAGAATATTCCATAACTTCTTGTTATCAATTCTCATGCATTGTTTTCCTGATTTGGATTACCTGACTAGATCTCAGAGCAGTGGTGTCTGTGAAGGAAATGGACACGAGGAGATTTTGTTACTTAATATTCTAGTTGTTAATGACAACTTGGAAGTCATCTTAGAACACTTGGAAGTTGTTGAAGGATCCACATTATTTTTTGTTGGCTTTTATTCCTATTATATGTATATGTATATATAATTTATGCGTACACATGTATGGATAAGTTTCACAAAAGATTGACTGCAGGTCTTCATGTAAGGTTGATGGCATATTTACACCAGCTATCATTAGTTCTCTATGATCCGTACAATGAATTAATGTAATTAATGTAATTATGCTGCAGCTTCAATTAACTTTTCTATTCATAAATCTGGGCATTTTTCCCTCAACTTATTCTAAGGCACATCATACCTTGGTTAGATAAAACCATTCCCAAATAAAATCTTTAAACAGTCAGCCTTTCAATGTGCTTTTCACTACTTGTTCAGTCAAATCCTGTCAATCCATAGGTATACCAAGAATTTAGGATTAAAATTGGCCAAACTGATTATTGCAATGAGCATCATGACATAGTTTTGTTTCTAAGAAATATCCTTTTTTTTAATTACCTGGAAGCTGCATCTTAGTCCTGCAGAACAACCTCTGAGAAATATGAAAATGTAGCCAGAAGTACAGTGAGAGCTGCTATTCAGTTCTCAAAATCCATCATTACACAAGTCCGTAAAGGGCTCTTGTTCCGTTTTTCTTTCTCCAAAATCTCATTCTCACTGTAAGTACAAGACACTTGAAATGTCTGGCCCCAAGATCTTAGTTCTCTTTCCAGAACTGTCTCTTCACTTATGTTACTTTGTTGCTTATAGAACATACTTCTTAGAGAAATTTTGGATGAAATCTTACTGCCATCATCAGTATCAGAAGACTGCAAAAGGACTAATATGGTGCTGGTTTCTGAAGGAAGAGGACCCATGTAATTACAGACCAGTCAGCCCAACTTCATTCTAGAAAACTGCTGTAACAAATAATCACAGTCTGAGCATCTCAAAGAGTAGGAACACAAGATACTGCTTAACTCTAGGAGTATCTGTTTCTACACAGCATAAGTTACTGTCTGACCAGTAGTATCCGTATCAAATCCAAGCATTGGTTTAGTACGATTTGTTCTTACAAAATGCACCTGAATTCCTACTACAACATAGTTAAAGCACTTTATGGAAACAATAGTCAGTAAGTGAAATCTACTGTAATCAGTAAGACTTTTTCAGAAAATAATTTTATAGGCAAGCTAGAGCAACCGGGAAAACAGTCCAGAAAGTGTCATGTGTGGTAAATAAACTGACTAAAAGCCATTCACAAAGAATGGGTATTGTTTAGTGCCAAAATGGAGGAGTGCTTTATTTGGAGGTTTGCCTGGGTCCCAGTAGTCTTCAGTGGCTTTATTAATAGCCCAGATAATACACAAAAGATGCCTATTACCTTTGCAGGTGCCACAAACCTGGGAGAAACATATGTACCTTAAAGGTCAATATTGGAATTCAGAGTGATACTGAGAAATTGGAGATACTGTCCAAATGGGAAAAAAGATCCAGTCCTTTACAAATAAATTATAAGGAGAATAGCTGGCTGGACAAAAGTTCTTTTGAAATTATTTAGGGATTTTTTTGTCAGTTGCACACATGAATCATGAGATGGAGAAATCAGGGTATGAAAACCACTGCATGTACTGTAATTGTTTAACTCAAATAAGAGAGACATAAGACGGGGTCAGCGGGAAGAGGTACACACCAAGTATTCAAGCCAGCTGTGAAGAGGGACAGCATAAACTTTCTCTACTTTCATAGCAGGCAGCTGGAAATAATGAGCAGCGAAGAGTCACGCTAGGCATCAGGGAACATTTCCTAACAGGAGGGAGACAAAGCACTGGAACAGACTGCTTGGAGCAGTTATGTGATCTCTGTCATTAGAGATCTTTAGTTTTAGATTAAAATCTGTCAAGAAATATTTTGGTATACTGGATCCTACCTTGGGGTAAAGAGTTGAAGTAAATGAACTCACAATGTCCCATTCATCCCTAGGACTTAAGAGTTCTGTCTTCTTCTCTGTGCCCTTTAAGAATAGAAAACCTTGATACCACTTTTCAGTCTAATGTCAACCAGTGATTTCATATCTGCTTCCAGTAAAGGCTCTGAAAGAGGGCACTTCTGGATTTTAACACTTGCCAGAAAGTAGTTGTTCTCAAGTAGGAAGAGAGAGTCAATTCCCACAGAGAACAAAGAGAGGTGTTTTTGTCTGTATTGGTCAATTGTGTTCGAAACACCAGAGTGCTTAAGAGCGTTAATGAAGTATGAGAGACAAAATGCATCCCCGTGTAAGCAACTTCTTCAAGGTTTGCATTCTGGTTTGTTCCCTCTTAGACTTAAGTTGTCATTAGCTGATTTGGAAATTTAATGTCACATTTCTTTACACCTGCTGGATTATCAGCTTTAGAATTACATCACTATAAACAAGCAATTTAGAAGCAATCCCAAATTTTAATGGCCTCATAAGAAAAAACTTTTGTCCTGCATTTGCTTTGCATACAGAAGCCAACGCCAACAGAACCAATCTAAGCAGAATTCAGCATCACTTTTGTTTCCCTATTCCTTAACTAAAAAATGTAACATAGTTTAGAGAGGCTGAAAGATACTGTTCATGATCAAGCATAACGAATGAGCTTGTGTTTTTTGTATAGACTTTTCTTTCCTTTTAGGGAAGGACATTGTTACTGCTTTTGAGGTTCTTTTGACATACCAGATACCTGGGTGGAGGTAGGAGAGGGTGTGGAAGTAAGCGCCAGTCTTTAGTTATTTTTGTACACTGTGCCTTCACAAGGCTCTGGTGTGTGCTGCCACTTGCCCTGCACTCCTTCCCCTGCTCTCCACAACAGCGAAAGTGAGTTGTATCTGCCTACTCCTACATACAGCGAAGTCAGTTCATGTGAAAGGTGTTATATTTTTCCTGAGCATCACAGTCTCTAAGTCTTCATAATCAGTGCCAGTGATCAGCTTCACATTCTCAAGTACATGAAAATCAAGTACACACCAGTTCTCCTTCTAGTCACCTTGTACTTTCCTTCTCTTAGCCATACCACAAGTATAGGTGAAGGATTTCATTTTAACAATAGCTTAAAGTAGCAGTTGTTGTTCTAAAGGCAATTGTTCATAGAAATTTAAAGACAGATAATTATTGAAGTTACCTTTAAGTGTTAGGCATTCTTTGCTATATGTTTTCTAAGAAAAATGTGTTTCTTTTCTTCCCATCTCTACTAAAATCCTTTAATTGGTTTGCTTATTTTCAAGAGAGAAAGGAAGAAATCATCTTGTATCATTTTTTTTCCACACAGTCGATAGTTAATGGTCTTTTCAACAGAAATAAATAAATCATTTTGAAAAAAAAAAAAAAGGAAGTGCCTATACCAGAAAGTTTTGACAAGTTAAAGAATTTGGAAAGCAAGTTTTTAATTATTGTACTTTTTTTGCAATGATCACCTTAGTTGTTGAGTATAGGTGAAAAAAAGTAAAACATTCAGAGAGAAAATTATGTTTGGAGTTGACTGTTGCATGAATACATTTGTCCTGTACTTGAAATAACAGCACCTTTTCCTCCCTAATGGGGTAGTGTTTCTTCAAACAGCATAATTTTAGTATGCAAACAAGTATACATTTTACTGAAATGTTTACTCTAGAGTTAAACATTCATATGTTCAGTCATATGTGGCAAGAAAAAACAAATCCGTTTTTGTGATCTAGCAAGTGCCCCAGCCTCACCTCGGGAAATGATCAGCCTAAAAGAAAGAAAAACAGACTATGAATCAACTGGAACAAATGCCACTTACCATGGAAGTAAGGGGGAACACACTTCCAGGAAAGACACCATGACAGGTGAGTTTATGCTTGCATTGCATATGTAAAAATCAGCTGATTTTATAGGCTTGGCTGGGTTTGCTGAATAAGTACTGGATCCTAATGAACAGAATGGTATGTGAAAAAGATTTGTGAAGACCATGTTTCTTCAGAGAAGGCTATAAAATCAGATTTATGTTTCTTTGTAACTTTACATTTTCATTTCAGAAGGAAGTTGGTAGATCACTTTGAGTTAACTAGTGTTGTTTCTGCAAGTATGACAGTGGTTGAGCATGTGCCCTAACATCTGTCTTTGACAGGGAATGGCTTTCCAAGGCCAGTTAGCTTATTTTGCACATCAGTCATCCCTAGGAAATCTGGTGGTGGTTGTGAATTCTGTCTGTGTTCCTTTCCCAGCTGGGCTGATTTAAATGCAACAGTTTTTTCTCTGTGTGTTATGGCACCTATTGCAGGTTTCACTGAAGGCCCGTCCCCCCTGGTGAGCTCATTAACTTGTCAGCATTTCAGTAATTACAAAATTTTGAGTGCTGGGCCCAGTACTGCACCTCTTAATTAATTCTCTTGAAAAATACATGTTGGTCTCCCATCACCATTGCGCAGGCTTATATAACCTTTACTGACCATGTTGTTGCACTTACATAGTACTGAGCAGTGTGGTGTCCTCTTCTCCAAATGCGACCACAGTGAGGAGTCACTGCACATTCTGAATGACTGTTACTGTCCCCTATACCCTCTGTAGAAGTCTTACTCAGAGGATGCCAGAATGGGGGGTCTCTGGGTTCCTCAGCTCACTGGGGACATCAGGAACATGCTGCCTCAGAATCAGGCCATCAGTACTAGTTTTCAAGACCGTATTCAGGATACGATGATAGTCATACTGCATCTACTGTGTTATTCACTGCTGCATAATCAAAACCTAAAGGCCAGCCTTTGTGTGAAAATGCAATATGGAACATTAATTAGCACAAAAGTGAAAACGTGAAGATGAGGAATAACAAGAGCATTTGGAAGCCCCTGAAATTAAGAGTCTCCTGAATGACATCTGCAGAGTACTACATGAGATTGCAGCATATTCAGTCAAGGTACTGCATTTTATATATCTGTAATATTTTGAGTGTTTCATAGTCATTGCGCAATGTGTTTCTCTAAAGCACTTCAGTGGTCCTTATTTGTGTGATTGTGAAGGACAGGACTGTGTTTCTTTCAGTACTTTGTCAAGGACCCACAAAGAGGGAATCTCAGGAGTAAGAACAGAAGGCTGAAAAGGCAGAAACACTAGCATTTTGTTCTGGCTTTATCTGCAAATTCAGACTACCAGATTAGATTAGAAGGTTCACCCAAAAAGAAGTGTTCCATATGGAAAACGTGTGTTTACATACAGGTAGTCTTGTCTTTTGCCACACATTAAAAAAAAAAATAGAGTTTTCTTTTTCCCCAACCCTTTTCATTTTGTCTTTCACTGCAGTGCTTTTCTTCTCCCATTCCTGTTTCCCTTATTTCCTTTATCTTTCAATATACTTTTTGGAGTGTGAGATTTGTACTTCCCCTTCAACCTTTGCTCCACTTTGAGTTTTGCATCATGTTTTCCTTTAATATCTGCTTGTATTTGTCTGTTCTTATTGATCTTTTGAGTGGGCTTTTAGTAAGGAAACTTGAAAGATTCAGCATCATGATCAGCTATTGACTTTTTCCAGCTGCTGAGCTCAGTGAGAAAAATGAAAACCAAAATCAAGTTGAAAAGGGCAATAATATTTCACAATCACACATGACCATTGTACGAATTAATATGGAGTTAACAAATCACTTTCTCTTTCTTTCAGATCACCAAATCTCTGCTCATTTGCTCTAAGTTCAAATTAAGCACCGTTCTAAGAACAAAAGAAAATGACAAAAGGAGTCTTGTGCCTCAACATTCAACATGAAATTTATGTAACATATTTGTAGCTCAGGAAATAATAAATATTTCATTAAAGAATGATATTAAATCAGTATTTGTAATTTCAATTGTGAGACATTTTGGCTTTATTTGAATGGTCTAATAGAAGTTCATGTAGCAAGTTCATTGCAATCTCTGTCTTTCATTTTGTGGGTCAGACAGTCCTTTGCAGCTAATGCATCTGTGGAATCTATGGGATAAATGTTTTTTCAGGTTCCACCTGATGTATGCATGTTTTCAGCTGCTCTTGTATTTTGTGCCAAGCTGATGTATCACACAAAGCATTCTTCGACTTACAGGTTTACACGGAATGTAAAGCCACAACTGTAGTTCCCATTTATCCATGACTGTCTCCATGTTCTTCTCCAAAGCTCTTCCCAGTTTATAGTTCAGAAATTTTACGACCTCTTGGTTGGGACTGAAATTAAGGGGTTTTGATGGATTTTTGAAATAGAATGTTGGCTTCTCGCCATTGTGGGGAGTTGTTAGGAAACCTCTGGGGAAAATGGAGTAAACAGTGTGGCTGAAGATAATAACTTACATCGATTTCACAAGGACAACTAAAAAAAAGAGGAACAATATCAAAGTTCTCATTGCCCTCTTCACAGGTTTATGATGTCTTTTATATTTACAGTCCATCTCTTCTCTGCAGAAAATAATAACCAATAATAAAATTTTATCACCTAAAGTATATTTTTAAGACAAAACCTATCATATTTATTTAAAAAAAAAACAAAACAAAAGCCCAGAAACTTTAGGTGCATATGATAACTTTAATTACGCGATGGTGTCTTCCTTCAGAACAGGGAAGATGTGGCTACTGTATACTGTCATGGAACCCCTATTCTAAAGTTTCTTTTACTGTGTTAGTTCCCTCACTGAAGTAATCTGTGCATCGCAGACTGCACCCTCTATCTTCACTTTCACCAGCAGAAGCATATTCTGATTAATATATTTTCTTTTGGTTTTAAAGAATCAGTCATCTGTACTTTTGGTTTTTAAACGTTTTCAAGTCCACACATACAGAACACAACCAACTACCATCACCTTTTACAATAGCTACAGATACTAAGGCTACTCATTATTACTTTAAGAAACCATCTTTTCTCATGCCCTTACCTCATCTTTCACCATGCAGGAGGGTGGCAGTGTCAGTGACAGGTAATGATCTGTGGTAGGTGAGATTTGTGAGGCATAGAAGCATTTTGCTTTACTGTCTTGAACTAGATTTTAGAAAATGGAGTCCTGCTACTTATATCAGGAAAAGCAGGTTACGTGATACCAGATGAAGACACTCTATGTCTAGCTGAGTGTTCCTTTCTTACTATCAGTCTGTGTTTCTGAGGGAGAAAGGCTAGCCTCTTGCTTTTTCAAAGTATCTGTAAATGTGTTCAGAATAAGTACTTGAAAGAACTGAAAGCTGAATGTTAAACCATGAATCAAGTGACTGGGGTATATGAGGACAGCTTCAGTCAGGGATACCTTTGTCACATAGACCACAGTGTGACATAATTTTGAAAGCTGTTGTCAGCTTTGCAGAAAACTGCTATGGGGAGCTGTATGATTTTTTTGTTTAACTGGTATCACCTTGAAAACTAAATGGGGGAAAAAAGAAGGTATTTTTCTGTAATGCTCTTTATGAAATACAGTCACAAAATACTGCAGGTTGATCACAGTACTCATTTTAGAACCTTCAGTTTTGCTTTGTAAAAACCGCTGCTTCAGTACTATCACGTACCGATGTTTAGGTACTGCATAAAATACACTCATCACTCCTCAAATCTCTTCGTCTGTAGCCGCAGTTCTCACATCTCTGTAAGAAAGTGTGGCTGCTGGAAAATCTCCATCTCTTAGACCTTGTACCCCTTCCCCTTCTCTTGCCATGTTTTAAAGAAGAACATTATTTCATTAATGTTCCTTTCTTCCTGTTTGAAAAATTTACTATGATAGTTTGTATACAGCATTAACAGGAAAAATCAGATTCTAACCACACAATATCTGTCCGTTCAGCTAGCTCATCCTCTCCCTTTTTTCTCTTATATTTGCCCTCTGCTTTTGGACAGCAAGAGTCAACTGCTCACTGAAGCATGGCAGAGCAGGAACGGAGTTCCCAGGGATACTGCCTGCTTGTTCAGAAGCAGGTACTGGAGGGGGCTGTGTGCACTGCTAGCAGCTATATTGCTTGACTTGCATTCCCTCCAGAGAGAACTATCCCAGCCTCCCAGTAAGACTAAGTCAAGACTTGAACTCTTAGCATTCATTTCCAAGTGTTTGCTGTGTCATTGGTTTTATTACATTAAGAAAATAATGCTACCTTTTTGATTATTTTTTTCATTTTAAACTTGTGAATTTGTACTCATCACTGATTTCACAGCAGCACAGACCTTGCAGCTATTTTAACAAGCCGATACTGTCAATTTTCCATTGCAGAATATGTGATCTGGGAGACCTTAAGTCTTTGATCTGGCATGTGACGGTGTATCAGTGCAAATGTCACAGTAATGAATTGGATAGCTATGCACCAACTGTAAACTATTTCTGGTTTTATAATAGTCATGGCTATTTGCTGTTAGTGGCACATATGTACAATATGCCTTTTTACATACCTGTAAAAAGATGGAAAGGTTATGATGCTCCTTAAAGTCTCTCTGATTGCCTGTAGGAACAACATACAAATTAATTAGCATGTGTCTAATTTGCTGTTCTTCATCACATTCTTCATAAAACCCTCAGATGTCGCACCTTATACCAGTCTTTTATTCTTGACATCAACCAACCATGAATAGTATTGTCTCGTCTGGTCATGCCTGACTAAAATCTTGCTTGCAGGAAACTTCAACCCTGCTTACCTTGCCATCCATATACATGAAAACAAAATGGTTACAGGAGGTTATTCCTGGGTTTATGAGATTCCAACACATTGAATATCACTTTCATCTTTTTCAAGAAGTAGCACTTCACAAAATGGTTAGCTGAAATGCTAATTATGAGAATCTCTGGATCTTGAGAAAAGGAATTTGTATAACCCAGCTTCTTGCAGTTTGTGGGGCAAGCAGAAACAGCATGAAAAGAAGATGATATCAAGGGAAGATCTGGCAGTTGTACTACAGAGAGTCATGCCATCATGAGATGCACCACAAATAGCAATGCTGATGCAGACTCCTCTAATACCAAAGACTATCATCAGGAGGGGGACTTTTTAACTCTAAAGCAGAGGATGCTGCCAGAATAAATAAATAAGTTAAAAACCAAACACTGAAATAAGTCTCACACACCACTCAGGTTAGGTGACAGAATGCAGCCTGAACAGAGAGAACCTCTGCAGATCAAGCTTTCAGCACTTTACATCTAAGATCAAGCACTTCGCATTTCCATCTGCTATCATCTAGTAGCACAGAGGTGCAGGTAAGAGTACCTACCTCTGGAAAAGACCATCCAGCATCTGTAACCAGAGTTCGTATTCTTCCCGCTTCAAAGAAAGGATCCTGCCGCACTCCTCGGAGACCTCCAGAGCTCTTCTCCATTTCCTATACAAGACTATGCACTGTTTCAGTAACTGCATCCAGCTCTTCAAGAAGAAGTTTTTTCACACCTATTAATGGTTATGAAGTGAAATGTCTTTTTTTTTTCCAGCTGTTAGGGCTCATCACCCTACCATATAATCCCTGTCTTTATCCTGTTCCAAGGACACACTTGAGATATTTAAGAACATGATCTAAAATCTGTAAAACAGCAACATGGAGCAGAGGGAAGAGTTTGTACATGCTGGGATCCATGCTAGCAGGTTGACAAAGAAAGTGGTTCTTCAGTAACTGTGGTTCTTCTTAGCAATGTGGCTAGCATGGGTCCCATACCCAGCTTTCAGCTCTGATGCTTAGTCCTCACTACGAAAGTTTTTGAGGTGCAAAGGTATTAAAAGCAACACTTTGGTGCCTTCAGGTTTTGTACCATTACACAGGGACCTGAGAGAAGTCATGTGCCCAACATGTTTCGTCTCCAGTGATGACTGATTCACAACTACTCAACTTTTATTTTCAGGCACATGCTTTTATAATGAGAGTCCTCGTGATGGTAACAAATCATTAATTCTCATGTCTGGAAAGTCAATAACATGCATGCCTGGTAAGAATGGTGCGCAGCAGCCACACACACGGACAAAAATTACTGCCATCTTTCAAATACTACACTTTCAGATATGAGAAATAACTGTAATCTTTTCAGTTCGACCAGCAAACTAAGCTTCAGCTAGATAGCCAAATCAGTGTGATCAGTGAAGTCAGCTTTGCAGGGAAGTGCCTTAGCTTTTCACAGGGTTTTGGGGGGCACGGTGGGAAAGAATGGGTTATTTTGAAAACTGTGTTATCCTTGTCTTTAGAATTACTCCTGCTTTCAAATTCATAGCTCAGTTTGCTCCCTGCATTTTAGAGGTAGGGCATCTGAGAACAAAGTAGCAGAAGAGTTTCAGACTGTCTTGGCCAGGCCTATTCAGTCTACATACAGCTTTTTTTTCTTCTTGTTAACTCGTTTTTTCAGTTGCATTTAATCACTTTTTCCATGAATAATTTTATGATGCCATAGGATAATAATAATCCACATCATCCAACTGAAGTGAAAGGACTGAAATGTTTCTTAATGTTTACACCTGTTACCTGTTCAGTGTATGTGTGGTATAAAATCCCATATGTAACCTGATATATATTACCAAATACTAGCTGTATATTTTGTTATTTATTGAAGTTATTTTGTTGATTTATATGTGAAATGCACAAGATTGATATGAACATGACATAGCACCTGTTAATAAGTGTATACCATATACATGCATGTACAACAAAGCAAAAATTATGACTGTATTGTGGGAGGAAGAGAAAACAGAAATCTGCAAATGTTTTTGAAGATTTTTTTGTGGGGGGAACAGGCATTTAATGAAGCCATAAGAATTCATTTTGAGGCCAAAGAGGTATGTTTGGTAAACCTGCTTTTTCCTTCCTTTTTCCCCTCTCCAGCTCAGAACACTGGAATCTCAACTTTGTACAGGAATTCATATGGTGC